GCTTCGCACTCCGTTCACAGTCCCGAGTGACCTCTCCAGGTACCAGAACAAGTCCATGCCACTCGTCAAACATTCTCTGCACTTTGCAGCCTTTTTCCTTGTGACTCCTCGCTTTGCTATACCAGGTGGAGTCGAGTCCTGACCTACAACCAGGTTACAGGCGGGCAGTTTGACCAACCTCAGCACTACTTCGAACACCTTTGTTCTACAGTCTTCCAAAAGGTCCCGTAGTCCTGGAGCAGCAGAGGAGTCAGTTGCCCTGGACTTGGTTTCCTGAAAGTGTGCAAGTAGCAGCTTCGACCACGAGATCAGCGTCTAGTCGAGATCTAGTCGAGCAAAAGAAAGAATCATGCCACCACTGCCATGTGAGCAGACCCTGACGCATGAAAGTTCGGCTTGCCTCCTTTGGGATGGCTTGTGACCTCGATGCAGCTGAGGGTTTGGTGTGAAGACGGTGAGGGTGTTGCTGGCGACATGTGCCCACCTTGGCTTTTGTGCAGTCTTCTCTTCGTAGCGGCTACAACCAGCAGTTTGGCGTGACACGGTTTGCCGTTTCTTTTCTGTCCACGCGCCGCCTGGCGTATGACTGACTGACTGACTGACAACCAGCAGTGGCAAGATTCGAGTGATTACAAATGCCCAAGCTTTGGCTGAGAGCCTCGCGTCCAGACTGCAGGTACTGCTACAATCAGCGATCGAGCTCAAGGGAAGCCTTCGGTTCTAGTCAGGCTTTGGCTCGGGTTTGCGTTTTGCTGCTTGTGGCTGGGTGAAGACCAGGTTTTACTTCAAACTTTTTAAACCTCAGCCACATTCAAGGGACTCACATCCCATGAAGATACAGATTAACGCAGCTGCGTTTCCCTGCAGGGTACCTGAGTAGCCCTGCATCTCTCTAGAGCCGCAGCTGAAGCGGAAGATGCAGAACTACGACTTTGCCATCTGCGCAGGTTCTTCCTATTGCTCAGCCTGTGGCCAGCGAATATGATGGTGGAACTGCCACGCCGCTGAGCCGCATTGAGCTAGGGCGGTCCTGAAAACATTCCGGAAAATGCTGAAACCTGCTGCGACTGTCTTGAGCAGAAGAAGTGAGACGTTTGTAAGTGCAATGTGGGCTTTCCTGAGGTTGGCGGGGAGAAGAGCCTATTATGCCAATTGCCCAGTGAGCCACCACAAAACATCTGCACGGAACAGTTGGCCTATATGCCATTTCAAATGCAGTCGCCTGCATCTTTTCCGCCCTCTGCGGCTATGCTCAAGCTAGCCCTTATGCTTTCAGGACTCTGCCTTCGAAGTAGCACCACCCACGCGGAGGACAGCCATTGAACGACTTGCGTGCAACATGGCGTAGTAGACTGTGCCGGCTGCCAGGCTAGCAAGTGATACGCGACCAGAGTTCGATTTCCTGTCCACGACCAAGTGCGCAGTAGATAGTCTCACTTGACTCAAGTGAGTTCCAGGGTTGAATCAGGCCTTCTACGATTTTTGTGTCTGGTGCATGATGATGCAGTCTTTGCTCACAACGAGTGTGAGGCTACCGCGCAGTTTCGAGGAGGACATTCCAGCTCGAATCAGTATGAAATAGCAGAAGGGACGTTTGTGTGAGCGTGCCTTCACTGCTCGTAGTTCCATGTCTTGCTGAGGCATTGCTGCACGATCTCTATGCTTGCAGGATAGTTTCCAGGTGGCTATCTACCCTAACACTCCGCTTAACCTGATTGCGGATCATCTCGCCTACATCAAGAATCGTGAGTGGCTGGACGTCAGCATCCCAGCAAGCGGTCACGTATCTGCTTCCGCTTGCTGTAGCCGATCATTCATGATCATCTATGCTTTGGTCTGCATGCATCAAGACAATTGTGTATGACAGATGGCTCGCTTCTTGCGTCTGGCCGCATAGATGCCAGTTTGGATACGGCTCTTGCTTAGGGCGGCTGATCAATCCTGCGGAAACCCCATAGCAACTCCAGCAGGAGCAGTCGCAATCAAACTGCTGCAAAACGGATCCAGTATGGCCTCAGCCGACACTAGCGTGGTACCACAATATCGGTGCTCTTGACAATCCCCTAGGCTCCCGCTAGTTCTCGTATGTGAAATACATGCGATCTGCTGCTTTTCAGCTGTTGCGGTATTTCCAGTGAGGAACTGAGTTGAGTTCAACTACCTGCACAGTGTGCCTCGAGGTGCGAACAAAGTTGCTAAAGATCACCGCCATGCTCATAAATGGTGAGCTGGGAAGGCCTACACAACAAAATGGATGGTGTCCGCCGATGCAATATGTATCATGACTTTTCCTGAGCAGGCCCCGACTTCAGAAGTTTACCATAGAAATGGTCAGCTGCCCGGTTTTCTGCCATTCTCCAGTCTCCTTACACTTTGTCTCCCAGCGTAAGGCGCTGAGTCGCGGAGGAGGCTTCTTCAAGAAGGTCAGGTGAGGCTCTCGGCCAAACTTTCTGCCTCTTGCCGCCTCCACGCATGTCCTGTGTGGATGTCCTTGTCTGATTAAGTAGCTGGGTCTTTCCTTGCGTTGCAGCGCACATCCATCCGGTAGCCAAGGGTCGACACGCTCTTCCTGGAGACTTGGGCTAGTGCAGCTTGCTCAGACCTGACATTGCCAAACGGTGTGCATTTCTTTTTTCATTGCCTCCTTATGGACAGCACAGCGCCTGGTGTAGCCGGGCAAAAGTTGCACGAAGGCCGCAAGTGTAGCGTTCGACGTCCTTTTTGCAGTCTTCTTAGCCGCCTTCTTTCTGTGGCAACCTCAGACTCAGATAGCTGGTTTCTGCGCAATCTGATCCGTTGAATCCGTCGGGCTGCGAGGTCGGAGTGCTTTCAACTTGGACGAGCGGTGGCCCGTCGTCAGGCACACGTGCAGTTGCACCTTTGCCCCGGACTGCATGGATAGGTCTGGTGAGAAGGGCCTTCGGTTGCAGGAAGAGTGTCGTTCGCTCCCGCAGAGACATGTTTTAATAAGTAACGCCCTGGTTCAAACCACGACGTAATTCTGTTGCTATGTGCCTCCTAGTTCCTGTGTTCAACTCACGAGCTTTTCGATTTTCAGTAAAAGTCTCTTATTGTTTGCCAGGGTTGGAAACACATCAAGAAACCGTGGACCCTCCTACAGTGGCTTACCATATGTGGTGGCCTCAGCAAAAGAATGGCTGTTGAGACGTCACCCCAGCTAGATTCCTGTCAGACTATTGCCCTGGGGATCTCGCAAGGTGGTGGTGGTGCCGTCCTTGTTGGCTACGGGTACGAAATGTTCTTGCGCTCGCGTCCTATCAGTTGGCATGCATCATGCTCTTGCATGCACATCTCTGAGTGACGACTTGGGCTTGTTGCTTTGACATTTTGACAGCTCAGGCGAAGGTGTCGTGACGGCATATCAAACTGCCGTCACCCAGGCGGTGCAGGACATGCTGCAGATAGTTTCTTCTCCAACAAAGTGGCCATGAAATCATTGTAATGTGAGCAGGACGTGCCCGCGGAAAGTAGCATCGGGGGCATCAAGCTGCTTGATGAGGCATGAAAGCATTTGTAGACACATATCACCCAGGTGCACAAGCAAGTTTACAAATAATAAAGCATACTACAGACATGCCATGGCAAAGAGCACGCAGACTGTTACACAGATTACCGCAGGCGTGGGTCTTGTGTGCAAAGCTTCGTTGCATTTTCTCGTTCCAGTTCGTCATGCCTCATGCACAACTGACGGATCAGTGCACGTGGGCACATCATCCTCTTGGCATATTCTTTTTTCCATCTTGCTCCCATTGAAGGTCAATGAGATGACTTGGTTCGTGGCCAATTTCCGAGTTGTCACTGGTCTGCCGCATCCCTGGATGTTTAGCTAAGTGGACGTCTGCATGTAGCCTGGTGGTGTGTGGGGTTATCGCGATTACCAGTGTTTGCGCCTGATCATTGCAACTAGTTGTGCTCTTATCCTGCATACCCATGATTGACTTTCGCCATCTGCAATGGCAGAGACCACCATTACTATTGGCTGTTTTGAAGATGCAACTGGGACTTAGGTACATTTTGCTTCTCATGGTGCGCTTCTTCACCTCTTTTGGAGCTCAGCCGCGACTGGCCGTAGTGACCAAAACCCTGGAGGCTGTGGGTGATGTCGGTTGGTAGAAGCAGTGGTAGTGGCAGCGGTGGCAGTGGTGGCGGTGCCGGTGGTGCTGGTGCTGGTGGTGCTGGTGGTGGTTGTGCTGGTGATGGCAGCGGTGGAGGTGCTGGCGGCGGCTCTGGCGGCGTCGGTGGTGGTGTTGGTCCTGGTGCTGGCGCGGCGGTGCTGGCGGTGCTGGTGGTGCTGGTTCGGCTACTCCAGTTGTAGGCCACTGTGCATCGTCTTCCCACAATCGCTATCGCTAAGAGGAGTTGTGTTTCTGCAAGTTTGCACCTTCTTGCGTTGTTAGATATCTGATGGTAGTTGAATCATTTGTTGTAGCTTGATTTTGTTGGGCTTTCATTCTCGATTGTATCAGCTAGTGAAACTGCCAAGCAACCCTCAGGCGATAAACATCTCACCCCCAGAACAAAATTCATGTATCCGGCGTCTCCACCACATATACCGGTATACCGTTCAGATGAAGAGACAAGTTCTCGTGATGGATGTAGTGCTGGTAGTCGTGTTGTTGGGTGTCGCGGAATTCGCTGCTAAAAACCAAGAGTTTTCAAGTTCCAGCTGCATCGTGCCAAGAGCAGCTTGGAGAGATGGCTGAGCAATGGATGTCTGGATAGGTCAGTGCCTTTGACATCGTCCATTTCCTCGTAGTCCTGGCGCCAACCTGGCTGGCCTCAGCCTGTAGCGTTGACGAGTGTCCACAGAAGCATGTGCAGTATTGTGCGATGCTGCTGTGTTCATTTACTTGAGCTCTCCGAGGCCTATGCCTTGTTGTGGGCTCAGTACAAGGAAAGCTTCTTAAATGGAAGAGCTCCCTTGTGCTGGCCTCCAATTTGATCAGCTCAGGGCGGGTTGCTTCATCTTCGGCAGGAGGATGGAGGTTGGACTCACCTGTGTAAGCTTGTAAGGCGTCAGTTCCAAGTAGCTGTAAGCACGCTGGCGGGTGGACAGGAATTTGCGACTTTGGATGCTTCCGTGGGCTACTGCTTCAAGCTCATGATTGAGGGGGAGCCCCTTCGGCTTGCTTGTGAATCTGTCTGCAGAGCCATGCAGCATTTGTATTGGGACGGCAGGTATGATTGGCCGTACTATTCAGAGGAGTCAGGGCCTTGTGCCTGTTGTGCTGACGCTGTCTCATGCCAAGCATGTTGCAGTGACAACAGCAACTGTTGAGGAACTACTTCACCACTATGTTCTGGATGTGGACTTTCATGGTTCTGCTGAACGTGGTCATGTTAAACCTTGCCAGGGCCTTGCTTCGTTGAATCCACAGCATTGTAGTGGTGCTGCGCGGAGCATGACAGGTCTTGGCCATCATTTTGGATGTCTATGGATCCATCCGGAGGGAGACTGGCAAGAGTGAGACAGCGTCCGGCTCTTTTGCTTCACCCGTCAGTTGAAGCAAGTTGTTTTTCCTCTGATTCAGGTGGCTCACCCTTTGGCGAATGTTCATGCAGTTGTGGTACCGACGAGTCTGGGTAAAGAGTGCACAGCTTTTGGAGGCCCTAGTCTTGCTAATGCTCAACGTACACAAACTTCTGGCTGTCAACCAGAGCCTGGAGTTGACCACCTGCAGTTGAGGGAAGACTGCTCATTCCTGTACCCATGATCTTGACAGGCTTTGCAAGAACTACCCGATGAGGTTCGTCGAGAAGATCTGCTAGACATTTGGCTGGCACAAGCACAGGCTTCTTCTGTTCATGCAGGTTGTTGGTCTCTGCCAAACTAGGTAACTAGGCTGCTTTAGAACCAATAGTGTGCATGCTTGAGTGCTATCTCTTGCCAGACCATGTTCAGCTTCGCAGGACTTTTTGTAAGGCTGGCGCAAGGCATATCATTGATCATGGATGAAAAATCTCTGCTGCATTGGTTTGATATATTGATTTGACACTGTGGTAGCCGTGACTGCCGCTGTCGCTGCCCGCTGCCGCCACCGCTGCTCCTGCTGCTGCAATCGCTGCGCTGCCTCCAGAGCTACTGCTCCGATTTTGCCGATTCACCCCGGGCCCTGCTTCTGAGGAAAAATTCCCCTCGATGTGCAACGTCAGCTGCTGAGCCAGACATAGTCTCTGCCTGTTGGCTTTAGAGTCTTGTAGATGGCGGCACCATGAGTGGACCTTGGCATATTCTTGGTGAGGAGCAGCTCAAGGTCTTGTTCCAGGAGTGCCACTTCCAGGCCTGCTACTGGCAGCAACAAAATTTGAGCTGCACGTAAACACGTCAGAGTTGTTGGGACAGGTGCAAATGGACGACCAAGCAGCTGCGGAGAGCAAGCGGTGCATGCCTGTGTGGAATCTGCACGACGCTTCAACAGGAAACTATAGCAAGACTATAGAAGTTGTTTGCACACGTAGTGTGGGAGGATCCCATTGACAGCTGAGGTGCATGAAGATGGCCTTGTCCTGTAAGCTGGCACTAGACCAGGTGCGGGTGAAGCCCAGCTTGTGGTGATTTGCTGTGAAATCAAGCACAAGTGGAAGATCATGATAGGCTGATAGGCTCACTGTTTTACCACCAAATGAACGTGCATGTTGCAGGTGACAGAGACGGCTGGAGTCTCAGCGTTGCCCCAGTCAGGAGTTGGTACGAAGAGGCGTCCTGGGTGCGATATGCAGTGCTCGACACTGTTCGAGGTCAAAGCTCTGCACAGCGGGACCATTGTGACCGGTGGACAGGATGGCCAAGCCTCCAACTGGGTGTGGAACTAAGTCAATCTCATTCATGTGGGTTGTGCTGGGAGGGCAGCGACGCTTGATCCATAGGTCCAGAAGATTTCGGATGAAATGGCAGAGCAGAACCATTACATGTCGTGTGCATCTCAGAGAAATTTCGCCAAATTCCCTGCGCGTTTTCCAGTGGATGGTGCCTTCTCATGCAGCTTAAGGACGCTGCGACAAAGACTGGAAACAGTTCAGAAGCAGTGGCAGGCCTGTGTATTAAACCCTACGGTAGATTCTGATCTACACTGACATCCTGTTCTGGCCATCATACGGAGATCCGTGGCACTCTGTGGAACTTTCATGCTGCGATGTCAACTTGAAGAGGCAATCAAGCAGAAAGAGTGGACCTGACCTGTCTTGGATGTGCCCACTGCGCATCATTCCGCCATAGATGCAGTGCCTCTAAACCCAGCTCTCTGCATAAACCTGGATGACAAGTCGTTGAACGGAAAATCTCTTGCCATGCTCAGGCATGGCTTAAGCACAACCTGCCTGATCCTGCCTCCATCAGACAGGCATTTTACCACTGCGGGACCTTTAAAAGCTTCCTAGATTGAGTGCATCCAGAAGGAACTTCAGTGGCAGATCTCAGTCCCCTGACAAAAGAATGTACATGTACAACATGCAACTTCAGATGAGGATAATTACCATGACGATGGTGATGAGGACAGCCCACCTTGAAATAATGTGTGTGAACAAGCCCAAACTGAAGAGCGCTCAACTCCACTTGTCTGTTGGTCCTTTCGATACGGAGCAGGCCAATTCTAACAAAGTGGCCAGCCATGTGTAGACATCTTGGTGCAGACTGCGTATGAAAGTGCCTCGGGGACTTTATCCTTTAGTACTGCCTCCTGACTTGCAGTGTGAAGCGCAACACATCAAGTGTGACGTGGTGTCGTATCACTGTATCGCCACGTGGGCTACGTACCACAACAACCTCAGCGAGTAGAGAATGTATAGAGGATTGCAATAGAAATTGAAGGCTTGGTGCACTTCTTTCTGAGAAGTGATTTGGGCAACTTCATGGTCGAATTGCTGTGTTACTAGCCCGGCTCATCGTTTGCCAGTCTAGCTGAGCACACATTGACTCTTCAACGTGTGTTTGTCGGGCGGATCGGGACGCAGAAGTGCCTAGGGACCGAGGCAGCTGCTTTTTTGTACTGCAGCGCACAGCTACGGTTTGGGAAATCACAAAACGACTGCATTGTATGGGTCCGGATACTCGATTCGGAACATGGGTCCCCGAGCCCTTCCCCTGTAACGAGACGCCTCTTCGCCAGGGCTGAGCTGGAGGCTGAGGCGCAGGAGA